GCACGATGCTACTATCATGGTTGAATTAATATATATTAATTCGACCATGACTACAATATTCAACTAGTCATGCTGAAAGGCAGGCACATGGACTTAGACAGCATTTAGCATTAACCTCGTATCCGAATAATGACAGATCTCAGAACGTAACACGCGTCGGAAAGAATACTTTGCCGGTTCGTGCTTCTAGTCAATATTTTTGTACTGTGACTATACTGTATGAATGATAATTACACAATAATGGATTTCAAGCAGCGCTTGACCTCAAGCGACTGCTATTTCAAGCGACCAGTTTTCATGAATTGGTAGAATTAATATTTCCGAATCGACTAAATGTGAGGTCATTTGTTTCTTATTTGAAGAATTTTATCTGAAGAATTCGCGAGCAATGATGAAGTGAAAATAAAATATAAATAGCTGCCGAACGAAACATTTATAGAATATGGGTGGGTTTTGTCATAAAAGAAATAAACAATCATAAAATATATAAATAAGTATATTATTAATATACAGTCATAGAAGAAATAAACAGTCATGAAATATATAAACAAGTATATTATTAATATAAAAATAAACAGTCATAAATAAAGAAATAAACAGTCATAAATATTTTGAGAAAATCGTGACATCGATAGTGAAATGTCGATGTACGGAGATTCGTGCTGGTCCTGTTTTGGCTTTCACTGAAAATGGCGGATTTCACGGCAAGTTAAACCTAGAACAAAATCAAGACTGAAGGCAGAAATTAAGCTCTAAAAAAGTCAGAAACTCACGAAACTAAAGACCTGGATTAAACCTTATAAATATGGCAAATCTTAGAAGTTATAATATAAATCAATGGCGTAAGCCGATTGGTTCAGGCGAATCCTTGAAAAATTGTGAAACGCGCAACAAAGTCACGTATGTCAGATACGCCGAGCGTGCGTGAGAGTTGATGAAATTAATCTAAAATGAAATAAATCTAAATTAAATTAATGATAGAACGATGAAATCAATCTAAACTACATCAATCATTCAAGGAAAAATTTTAGTGCGAGTTACGAATTTTACAGCGCTGCCTGACCAGAAAATAAAGAATACATTTAGTCCAGAAGCAAATAAATAATTTTCGAAATAAATTTTGGTGAATTTAGTAACGCGTTTGTATTTGTTTAGCTGCGATAATCATAATTTAAAGTGAACATTTCGGTTTTTGAAATGCACTAAAAAGTAAAATTAAATGTACCGGCTTAGGTTTACAGTGCAGATATAAACAATATTATAAGTGATGATGACATAAAAGTATTGAACAATCGTATATGTAAACAAACAAATATAAAAGTCCAAAATTATCGGACACTGTAATTAGCTCCTCTTGACTCATCAAGCTGATAAGTTCCCAAGTAAATTGTCGCGTGAATAAATACGTTGACTATTATAGGCAAAAAAATATATCAGGTTCAAAGGCCCACCGTCGCAATGAGTTTATCTCTAGCAATAGATAACGACTTGCAGATAAGCAGGAAGTGGAGATGACCAGATATCAGGACAAGCGAGGTCACTAATGCCACTGACAAAAACCGAGATAGCGAAAATCATCACAACCTATATAATGAATCATTCAGACAGTAGATAAAAAATATAACTCAGAACTCACTGCAGTGAGTGACAGAGAGCGCATTTTCTCGTCGGCGAAAACGTGAAGTCACGGACGGACGGACAGACGGACAGACAGACGGACGAACGGACGGACACGACGAGCACAATAGTGTATTATTTCCATAAATGAGAAAATGCGCTATAAAGAGGGTAACATTGCAATACACTATACGTCAGGAATAATTATTTCGCGAAAAATATTGGACAATTTTTTCAGAATAAAAATGCGATAGGACATGTTCGTTCTTCCATCTTATATTTCGGTGGAAGTTTCTATAAACTCTTGCATTTGGCTCAACAGTTTGAGATAGTAGTATTATTAAATAGTTCTTGTTCAAAATTGAACGCCGAATTACTGCTAAATATTCTAATATGAGTACTCAATAGGTCGGAATAAACTTATTCCTATTATTCTAATGGAGGCATTGAATCTACGCAGTAAAATTTTATGTTCATCAATTTATTCTAATTGATCAATTATTCTTAATCAATTATTCTAATTGATGAACACAATAGAACGTAAAATCATTGCTCATTATTTTAATCATGGTACTCAATGGAACGTTGAATTATTACACTACATCTAAATCTTTACTAATTAATTCATCACAAAATATTTTACTCGTGCGATAATAATACGTAAAAAATTTATTTTGACAGTCCGATTTGACAACACTTCCGTAAAAAAGATTACCTTATCATTTTATTCGACAAATTTTAATTTTGAGCAACATTATGAGTGCGCTCAACTTATGCATTGAAAAAATATGGAACGTGATAAAAACTTAATAATATTCAGAGAACGAAGTATATTCCACAGCAACATTTTTCCAATATCCACGTGAAGGAGATATGAGGGTTCATGCTGCGATCATACCGCAGTGTTTGAACAGCTGATGATATCGATATCGTCTCGCAAACAACGTCAAGATCTCTGGGCTTGACGCCAGTGTTCTCCTAACAGAAGTTCTGTCACTTGATCTCTTGATTGAGGTCTCTGTTCCATCAGAGATCCGAGATCCGTGTTTTGTGGATCGCAAATAGATCGATTATCCACACATTTTCGGTCGCAAAATATTTGGAGATTTGTTAGAAGAAATCTTATGCTTTTCATGCGTTGTAGTAATGAACCCACCCACACAGATCTACATCCAAGCTTGATGATTTTTAAAATATTTTTTTTATCCTTCTTTCATAAAGATCTAAGCAAGAAGGCTGATGTGTTTAGCATTAATTATGATATATTAATCTATTTACCAAGCAATCCTTTCATCGTCCAAATGACATTGAATTATACCAGTATGTTATAATATTTCATGAATATTTGTTTTTTGGTTTATAGGAAGTTGAAGCATCTAGAATCGCAACAAATGTTAATTTCAAAAAGGCTCTAAATATCCGCAATTAAGAAATAATGTGACTATTTAGAAATATTTGGATCATAAATAATATTGTATGATCCAAAAAGCAACTTGAAAATCATTTTTTTAAAATATGAATTTAAAAATTACATTTTAAAGACAACATTTCTAAAGAGGCCAGTTTTCCCGATGTTACACATGTGCAATGAATTTATAATTTTATTTTCACTTACAAAACATTTAAGAATATTAAATTAAAAATTTTTAATTTTTAAAGTAAAATAAAATTACATTTTTTTAAAATTATATTCTGTTAATTGATTCATGCATTGTCTCCGACTTCACGGTAGTTTGCTAAATTTCAGATCAATAGGAGAGGTATAAGTATGTTAAATATTAATTATAAGATTTGTAGCAGACAAACAATATACAACAAGTGAAGTTAAAGAGAAGCGTTGTAAATATATTTAAACGCATATTGTTGCAGAGTCACTACCGGTTGATGACCTTTGACCCAGCAGTCTTTTTACGGTGCAGACAAGGGGGCAGGCTAGACCGAGTGCCGCTGCAGCGCACACACAGAAGAATAATTGGGTATTTTTCAAGGTAGCAATGCAGTTTTTACCATTGTTTAGGTCATCCTGGCTCAAAAATGGCGTATCAGTGCTACTCATAGTAAGGGTGTTGTTATTTGGACAAGATGAGACATAGCTTATTCTGAGTGCCGGTTCTTCCCTCCAGCCCACCAGGCCTCCTCCCCTCGCCGGTTACCCTCGCCATTCAGAGGCCGAGGGCAGCCACCGCCGCCGCAGTATTGATTTTTGCTGCTAACGCGGCGCTCTCCCACCCTCGGTTTACCCTCTTTACCCTCTTTTTAACATCTTTTTGCCCTATTTTACCCTCTTTCAACCCTCATTTTACCCTCTTTATACCTTCTCTTATTATGTTTCCTTGTACTGTATTTTCACTTCATTACTCCCTACATATCGTTTTCCTTTTGAACTATTCCACAATTCCTAAATTCAATATATTTTTTTTAATTTCATCAATCAATATTATAGATTATTTATTTATTAATCAATTCATTTTTCATCAATTAATTACTTTTTTCATCAAAAAATTAATTTTTTCCTTAATCAATTAATTTTTCATCAAACAATATTTTTTATAGTGTACGTGGATTTGGACTAAATATTCGATCACCTCGATTACTTTTCCGCCACCTCCGCGTTACATTCAGCTAAGCTAAAGGCTTGCTTATTCCCTTTGTTCTTGTTTTCTGTCGCTGTTACTCTCTGCGCGTCTTCCCACTCTGCTCTCTTTTTGTTGCTCTTTAATATCTATTGCTCTTTTTCTCGGCCTTTTTTGGCGCATTTCTCATTTATGGATAAATGCCCTATTGCGCTCGTCATGTCCGTCCGTCTATCTGTCTGTCTGTCCGTCTGTCCGTGACCTCACGTTTTCCTCGACGAGAAAATGCGCTCTGTCACTCACTGCAGTGAGTACTGAGTTATATTTTTTTGGTGTTCTCTCTGTATGTTATTGCTCTTTGATTTTCCCTCAATTTTTTTAATATATAGCTACTTTATCTGGCCAATCAATGTTTATCTTCGCATTGTTCTTTTTCTCTGTTTATTTCAATATTTTCTTTCCTATCTTTTACTATCTCCCAGATTGTTATCTTTTTTCTTGTTTTTCTCCGTGTTATTTTTCACTATTCTTTGTTCTTTCATCTTTTGTCTTCAATGAAAACAACGATGCAAACAATAACCAATTTTGTCTTCAATGCAGACAGAGATAAAGACAAAGACCAACATTGTCTGCACAGAAGACAATAATAGAAGCAATGACAAAAATTGTCTTCAAAGTAGGCATTTTTTCCAAACTTTTGCCAGTGAAGACACAGACCATGTCAACCACATTTACTTGAGTGAACAATGAAATAAGGAAATAATGTCATTATGTTGACGGTCTCATTATGTAGGCTCATGCAGCACTCACCATGCGTGATTATGTTGACGGTCTCATTATGTAGGTAGAATAGGCTCATGATGCACTCCCAGGCGCTAAGCAACGGTCTGTAGCCCGTGTCTATGTAGGGATTAAACTGTAGGTGCTTGGGCAGCTCATGACGTCGCATGAGACGTCTAAACGAACATTTAGACGTCGTCCCGTTAGCGTTTTGTGACGTACACCAGTTTGTGGACGTTACTGAATTGGCCGATGCGTTACCGACGTACTGAGAGGCACAATCTGGCCCGTCGTACGTTACGGGTTCGTTATATGTAACGGGCTCGTTGTATGTAACGGGTTCATCACTATGTACACTATCGCACGTCGCCGACGTTTCAGGAACGTTACGCTGACGTACGGAATTTGTATCTGCCACTGACGTCATCTTTTGAATTTTTATAGACACGTTATTAAATATTGCTTTAAATGTTTTTTATGGCATTTCTAAGCGGTATATTAGATCACATTTTATCTCATATCTGAAACGTTTGGAAATAGAAAACACGGAGCGAAAATGTAAAACATGAATGATTTTTTTAGTTCGTATGATCGATTTAGAGTTTAAAATTAATTTTTTTAGTTTAGAAAATTTGAACCATGAAAGATTTTTATAGATAAGGATCAAAATTTTGTCAGTGCACAAAGTAATTTAGACCTACAATCTTGGGGAATTTGTGAACAGATTAAAAATAAAAATTTAAGCAATCAATCAGGTTTAAAATCAATTCGATTCTTATATTAAATCCATAAATTATCTCACAATAAAACCTTCATCTTGGGAACGCCGGAGCTGCACCAAAAATGAAAGGAAACTCCATTGTAATGAATGATATTTTGTGCACCGATATTTAAAAACTATTTTGTACAGCAATTTTGTTAAAAATAATAAAAATACAATATTACTACCCTTGCTTGAAAGACACTGAAGCTTAAATATGTAATATTGATAGCTGAAGTAAAATATTTACATAACAGTCAAAAGTTTTAAATTATTGAATTTTTTAAAAATTAAATTGCAGTGAAATGTATATACATAATTAATTATATTGTAAATGAACTCATGTCATTAGAAAACATCGCATCGCGTGGTCACGTTTTCCAGGGCGAAAATCACGGCTTTGTTATTGATCACAAAGTGTGCTATAATATCTTACAGAAACTAAACATTCAACACCGAGTAATCTGTTTATTTTCCGGGGAATATTATCAATAAATGGTAGTTGTATAAAATAATAGTATAAATTAATTTTGTGATATTCATACAAGCGGTCGTTACATGAAACGATTCCGGCTTCGCAAGAAAGTCCACATCACGAGGACGATTTTCCGACACGTCCGACCTGCGCGCGGCCGCTGACTCGACTGATCGTTACAGCCACAGCCTGTGCCTTCAGCCACAGCCAGGGACTTCAGCCACACATACCGAGCAAGTGTCAGCCACAGACAGGGACTTCAGCCACAGACTAGGGACTTCAGCCACACATACAGAGCAAGCCATATGGCTGAGACAGCCACATGGCCACAGTCATATGCCAGTCGGGAACCCATCTGAGCCATCTCATATACTCGTATATGACAAATTGCCTATTAAAATTACTGATCAGGTAACAATCAGATGCATAAAGTTTCTGAAGTAATTTTAATATCATTTAGCAAACACATGAAGTTACGAACCAAATAATCGGGTTAAAATGATTTTATGCCACACGCCACAGCCTAATGACGTCACCGTTGCATGCCACTTGGCCATATGCCGCAGAAACCAAAAGGCGTAGATTTTCTCGGTTTTAATCTTAATGAGTAATAAAGGAAATGATAATCCCATATTTAATATTTAGGCTGTAATTATTTTAAAAAATATAATGAAAATCAATGCCTTGCAAGGCCATCCTTCGTTTGCGTAGGTGATTTTATAATCCATTTGTTCACTGATTTAAAAAAAAGTAAATCAGTATTTTTAGCAAATAATCGTTTTTTAATATAATAAAAAACATAAATAATTTATATTTTTTAACCCAAGCTTTTTTATATTTTAGCGCACGTTATAAAAGATAATTTTTAGGAATTTTTGATACATGCGAAATACAATGTAAAATATTCTACTTGAAGATGCAGTCTCTTGTTCTTTATATTTAAACTTAAAGACATTTTGTATATTCAACTTTAACTTTAATACTTAGCAAAAACATAAAAGGGTGCTAAAATTTTTACGAATTTTGTAGCAAATTATTTGTATTAGAATTTATTGCTCTTGAAACAGAAGTTTTACTTATATTCATGAATAACATGACGCACTTAATGGACATTTTTAAATAAAAACTATTTTGAAAATTTTATTGTGAAATCTCACTTTAATTGAAATCAAACCTCATTTGATCTCGAAAATAATAATATGCGTTTAAAAATTACTTTCTAAAGACAACACTTCTGAATAATCCAGTTTCTTGGATGTTACACATGTACAATGAATTTCTAATTTTATTTTAAAATATTAAAAAAATCATTTTTCTTAATTTTTTAGGACATCAAAATTTTGTAAATTTTTAAAATTATTTATTCTGTCAACTGATTCATGCATTGCCTCTGACTTTATACAATTGTGCAAAAATTCAGATTGATTGGACAGGTGAAATTGTGTCATATATGAATTATAAGATTTGTAGCAGATGAAATTATTTGTAAATTTTTGTAATATTAAAAAAATCGAATTTTAAAATTATTTATTCTGTCAACTGATTCATGCATTGTCTCCGACTTTACGCAAGTGTGCAAAATTTCAGATCGATTGGACAGGTAGAAGTGTGTTAAATATCGATTACAAGATTTGTAGAAGACAGACAGACAGACAAACAAGAATTGAAGTTAAAGAGGAGTGTTGTAAAAATGAATGGAAATCTCATTTTGTGATCGAAATCGAATCGTGAATTCAATAATCGTGAACGAATCACGAATTTATCGAACGTCGTGAATTTTTCGATGGAGCTGATTTCTATGATTAAACATGACTGACGATGTTTAAAAAAATTTATGACTAAAAAACATGACTAAAAATATGACAACATGACTAAAAACCTGTTTATGACTAAAAAACATGACTGACGATGGAATAATCTATCTCCAATTGTTTCACTAATTGTACATGCAATTACCACAAGTAATATTAGCAACTAAAAACATATAACTTGGTAATTATCACCTATAATTGCCGATAAGAATTTTGGCCATTACGGTACAGGCATCCGTAATTCTGTAAAAATTTCTGCCCATTCATTTTATTATGAATGAATATTATTAATGCAATTTTTTCGATATCCTTTCCTTGAATTAATAATTCAAAGTTAACTCATATTTGTATTGTTGTGGAAAACTTGCAGTTAAAATAATTTCTGAATTTTATTAAGATTAATATTTTATAGTTCAGAATCTGAAGAAAGCAAAAAAAAAAAACGGAGTAAAAACGTTAAATATGAATTCGAATTCATAAACAACAATCAATATGGGGATGATTAGTCCGAACAAAAATAAACAACATTTGAACAACAACATTTACCTATTAAGGTAAATTTTGAACAACATTTACCTATTAAGGTAAATTTTGAACAACATTTACCTATTAAGGTTAAATTCCTACTTCTGATTTGATGAACTTGTCATGCGGTCGTGAACTTATGAAAGCTGGCTGCTGATTGGCTGAAAATCTGACGGGTACAGGCGCTCAAACGAGTCGCGGGTCAGTTACCCTGAAGATGTGGTGAGGAGAGGTGGTGGGAGTCAGAGTGCTTGTTTAGCTGTGCAATTTAGTTCCTCCTAGAGCTTCTCGGCTTTTATAATTATTTTATTTAAAATGTTTTGATGCTGTATCATAATGGAAATTTTAGTGTGTGACTGTCTTAGAATATTTATACTATTACTGCATTTGCATACCAACGTTGTTTAATCCAGACATGAATCTATTAGAACTTTTACGAAGTTCTCAACGAAAGTTTGGAGATTCATCAGCTACTTAGGGGTATGACTCAAACTCTTAACCATTATTATTCATGATTTATTCAGCGAATAATACAGAATTATGTATACTTTTTCATCCATCATGTTTCTGTAATCTCAACCGCTCTATGGAAAATAACCAATATCAATAGTTAATTTAGTTAGAATTATCCCATAAGTGCCATAAATTTCAACCCGTAGCAGAGTAGGAAATTTGCGTGACGCTATTTTCACAGCATATCAATCAAGAATTGCGCGAATAAAGTTGTCACAAGATAACTAACTACTCGAAGATAATCGTGAATTCTGTTCAATATGCAGAAACCGAGTAATGGCGTCAATATTCTTAGGCGGCATAGGGCGGAATTTTGGGAATTGTGGTTCGTAAATTCAAGATTAATACAGTCTGTTACCTACCTTGATTGGTTCATAAATTTGAGTCACGTATATGAAAGGAAAATATAGTTTCTGATTTCTAGGTTCTATATGACATGCCCACTTGTACATATATTATTCCTTCAGAATTCAATAAAAATAGTTCATGAGCTCAAGATAATTATTATCTTAAATGAATTTCAATACCTTTGTGTGCAAGCAAGCCTATGTGGAAAATTGGGCAGAAGTCACCATTGAATCTGAGTCAAAAAAGTAAAAAACATCTGTGAATTATCTGGACGGCTTTAAATCTTCATGTAGCCTTTTCCTAATTTCTTCGGTAAGAAATAAGAAAAACGGCACATTTTTACTTGTTATTTCTTTAAATTGCCCATAAAATGATTGTTTCGTTAGAAAACTTCTGTCCAATATCCCAAATTGGCAAGCAAGCCATTGATAAGTAATGTTGCCAAGGGAGAAAGGAGTTCAGGAGAGGGTAGACGAAGCGCTTGAGGTGCTACAGGAAATTCACACTTGGAAGCCGGTAATACCGAAGTGATGGATTAGAACTCCTGTGTATCTGGGATACTTAGATCTCCTGTGTATCTGGGATACTTAGATCTCCTGTGTATCTGGGGTACTGAGATCTCGCGGGGGTTTCGTATTGTCATTTCCAATTATAAGTTTATTGGAATCAGGTATTATTAAAATAGCTTGATTTTTTTAGTTCCTCTGAATGTATTCAAGTTGTATTATTGTATAGACATGATCATTAAAACTTAGTCTAGTATATAATTACGATCCTTTTCCCAATTCATAGTTCTTGACATAGTTAATTTGTGGGAGCCTCGGTGAGGTGAAAAGTTTTCGTATCGATCGCATTTCCGTATAGAAGATTCTGCATTTTTATAGACAATTAATTTACCATCGGTTTGATGGTCAATCGAAGATATTAAGTTCCCATTAATTAACAGAAGTTGAGCTTGATATATTGGCTGCCATAGGACCCCTTATGCAACAATTACACATCAACATTTTCATTGAATTTCAATCTTTGCTTAATAATGTCACAAGGCTACGTATGAAGTCAATGAGCAAGTATAAATCTTCAACTGGCGACCAGGTTAAAGATCAGCAGTTAAATTGCTTCACAAAGACTAGCATGTATCGCTGCCGTCCTCTAGGCCTCCCTACAGCATCTTGCTTGCTGCCACGTTTGCTTGGTCGTTCACGCGCGCCTTAGTTTAGCGGCGAACCAAAGTCGTTTGGAACTGAAGAGTGTGATGAGGAAGACTAATTTCCATGGTATTGATTATGGAAACGATTTAAGATTATATGTGGAATCCAGCTTAACCTTTTTTCTACGGGTACAGTTACAGCCGTCAATGCTATTCGTACCAAATGGTTTGGTATTGAGAGATCCCGTTAGCACACCAAGATTGTACAGCAATAAACACTAATCCGTCATTGCAATTAAGCCGATGATGCATTAAAGTTATCACGTAAGTTGCCAAAGTTATCTTCAGAGTTTACAACTTCATCACGACCGAACCATTAAAGTTGTCACGTGCTTTCTGAATAAGACGATGTATACTTCTAAGTTGTCACGACTAGCTTCAGTGTACAAGTCCTTAATAAAGACGTCAAGTTGTCACGGCAGACTCTGGTGTTAACGCCCTTGATTACGACATCGAAGTTGTCACAACAATTCGGGCCAATTCTTCACGGCCGACATCGTTGTGAGTGTCCCGAAGTGAAAGATTTTAGTTTCATTGCAAATGAAATAGAGCATCGGAGGCTTCGATTGGTTTGATGCAGAATCCAATTCTTAAATTTTTTCAGTGATATTAAGCTAGGAAAATATATTGATGCCGTAGATTAGTTGGCCAATTAATTTTGGGATCGCACAATATTTCAGCTAGAAGACCGGACTACGCTCAAGCTTGTACAATTTTATCCCAATTCCAGATTTTAGCAACTTTCATTATAAATAAAGATTCTTCAAAATTTACGTTGTAGATACTGCGTGGGCTTTTTTAATAATTATTAGCTGACTATTGAGCCTATATATAATGATATTTATATGAATATTCTGTTAATAAGAGATAAATTCGATGCTTTTACAGGGCTGAAGAATCAAATTGGAAAATTAATCTGCTACAAAGACATGAATTAGAGCCTTTAGATGATGCATTGCGGAAAAGAAGTTATGCTTGTGTAATTTTTCAGCTTTGATGGCGAGTGTTTATGCTTGAAGATGATTTTTATTGCACCATTTCTGCCTTTAGCCGAACCCTCGTCAAAGACGTGCAATGGTGTTGAATTTTCCTCTAACGAGAAATCCAGAACAAAAAAAAAATTTCTTAACAAAATATTCGCAACTGTGTCAGCGGCAAGTAAGGATCAGCCTGATAACAGAGCGATAATTGGAGACAAAATATTCAATGTATAGAATTAGCAGCGTGGTGCTCTTAAACCTATAATGAATGTAACCCAAGATTGCGTTCTCGTTTTTCAAAGAGCGTTATTTAAGCATTGGAAATGTCATTGTTGGAGACGGAGAATATGACATGCTTGATGTGTTCATTTTGGTTGATTTAATTTAAAATATGCATGCACTTTTATTGCATTTATTTACTATCTTTCGGACACCTGATTCCTCTTAGTCAAAATTTGATTTCCTGTCATCTAATTGTTCAGCATTTGCTTTTGATTAGACGCCATAGTTCCAGAAGATAATTAAATCGCTCAATCATATCTCTTATGGACGCAGATTTTTACCTGACTAGATAGACCTCAAATTTGTTGAATAGTGGAACTGGACGTGAATAGTGGAACCTCTTCAACTGGACGTTCGAAGAGGCTGTTAATGTTTTAGACTGAGTGTATACTGAACGCTAATTCAAGGAGTGTTCATAAGTTCAGTTACATAATTATGTACATCAATAATGCACCTAGAAAAAAATATCAAGACACCTTCTCATGGAAGGTAATAACGGAATTTTAGATTATTTTATTGAACTATCGTAAAATAAATAAAATATCATTACAATTTAGCAGCGAAGATAACAAGACAATGCAAGACTATTCTATTAAACTTCTCTGCACTAAGAAAAAAATGTCACTATAATTTACCGAGGAAGGTAATGAGGAGATGAAAATTTTTTATTGAAATTCTGGTAAAGTTATTCATGTGAAATGCCGGAAGCTCCGCAGTGCAAGACGCGGAGCTGCTCCGTGGATGAAAGTGAAGTGCCCCTCCTGAGGCGCGTCTCGCAGCGGCTCTTGGAGTCTCTGGGTCGCCGACGCAACTCCTGTCATGTCGCCCCTCCTGCTTCGAGGACTTTTTTCTATGTCCCTGCGCCTCTATCTTTTGTGTCTGTCCCTCTTTCTTCTGTGTCTGCCCCTCTTTCTTCTGTGTCTGCACCTCTTTCTTCTGTGTCTGCCCCTCTTTCTTCTGTGCCTGCCCCTCTTTCTTCTGTGCCTGCCCCTCTTTCTTCTGTGTCTGCACCTCTCATTTCTGTCTCTGCGTCTCTCCCTTCTGAAACTATTTCTGCGCCTTCTTCGACTGCGTTTCTTCCACCTACTTCATCTGCACCTCTCTCTTCTGCCTCTCCACCTCACCCTTCCGCTTATGTTTCTCACTCTTCTGTCGTTATTCTCTCTTCTGCCCCTTTACCTCACTCATCTGCATCTGTTCTTCTCTCTTCTGCCTCTATTCCTTTCACTTCTGCTTCTGGTCCTCGCTCATTTATCTCTGCACCTCACCGCCTATCGTTTGCTCATCTCAATTTACTTACTGCGTCTTGTTCGTCTGATTCTGTACCTTCCTGGTCACATCCTGAAACTCTTTCTTCTTCTTTACTAACACTCAATTCTACTCCTCACAATCGTACACTTGGTCTCCGCCCAGCTTCTTCGTTTATATTTCCTTCATCGTCCGAATTTTCGTTCCTCACTCATGCCTCAGAACCTCTCACATCTCCTACATTGGTGAGCAAAATTACCAAAAAGAAACATCCTTCCAATTATTTCAAAAGAAATTTCCGTGGATCCATACATAAAACGAGATCTTGTGAGGACGTTTTGTCACGTTGTAGCGCCACAAGTCCAAGTCACGCTGATCATCGGACACAGTTGAACGATTTTGATGATTACAGAGACAGGTACAATAATGAAGGGTCTCATTGCTCAAATTTAACGTTTACTGAGCTCCAGTTATCGTCATTCGAAAACTCCGAGGGAATCTCTGAAGCATCACAGCCGGTAGATGATTCTTCTTTGTCATCGTCCGCATCCCTGCTCGTTGAAATTTCCTCTTGCGAAAATGAGTTTCTTCCAAAGCGCACTTCAAGAAAAAATGAGCTTCCGTTACTACGTCGAAGAAAACTTGGCGTTTGTGGAAGTATGATCGACACTTCATCTTCGTGTTCAACTTTGACAGAACCTCGCACATCTCAATGGAGGCTGTTGACTAGAGAGGTAACTAGAAAATTATCTCCTGACCCCTCGTCAATGATTGATATCAGCTACAGTAACTCGCCGAACGAAAGCTTTGCTCATTTCGGAAGTTCAACTCTTCGTGCGGATGAACCAGCATCAGACAACTACCGGAGTGGCGACAATGATTCAAGTGAACATTCTATTCGCTCTCAAAATCGCGGTCCACAATATTTGAGAGTTTTGGATATGTTAACTCAAACTCTGTCCTCTCCGCCGTTCGACGATCACCCTTCGGGCTCCCGGTATCATGCCATTTCTTCTTCCTGCCAGACTGAAAAAACTGAGGTGAGCCCTTTTTCAACAAAAAGTTTCAACTAATTTAAAAAAATGAAACTGAGGTGCGCCCTTTTTCAACAAAATTTTTCAACTGATTTACAAAATGAAACAGGTGAGTTTCATCTTCCAACAAGTTAGTGCCTTTGAATGGCTATATTAGCTATCAGAGGACTGGAAAATGTTCTCTCGATGCTAAAATTCTTAATATATGTCGCATGCAGCTGGTTAAATTAAAGAATTGAGTAAATTTATTGGGTAAATTTAATGTTGCTTGTGTAGTGCAATTGTCCGGGAACTAATTACACACAATCTTACTGTGAATCAAAAAGCAAATGATAAAGTTTAACATAACAAATAGAAAGATTAACGTTTTTGATGTTAAAATCTGTGAAATTTTGAGGACTCTTAGAAAATTTATTTTCCACTGTATTTCCAAATTTAAGATAAGTGAATTATGACCACTTCCATCTGCCACACGATGAGTTGGCAATGACCGCAATGTGGAAGTTGCAAGAAGAAAAGTTTCATACTTTCCTACAGCAAACAGAAAAGTGTTTGGTTGGTTTGATGGTGAACGTTGCGAAACACTCAGCAGTGTTTGATCATGTCGTGGAATATTTTCTGTATAAATAGCGGAAGACATTGGCCTACTTGAGTTCAGTATTTTTGGATTGTTATTTTAGATTAAATTCTGCAGTAATATATACGGCCATTGAAAGACGGTTGACTCTGCCAATTTAGGTTGACGCTCATGAATTTCAATATGTAAATCACGATAGCAATGAACTGTTGGATAGTTACGTCTTTATAAAGCGTTCTTCAAGGTGTTAGATGTCCATAACATCTTCAAATAGGTCAAAGTTTGTACCATTAATGGTTATCGAATTTGCTATAAATGAATATATGTTGGCTTAACGAATTTAAGTTAAAGTACGCAAAATTTATTAATTTTTAAGGAAAACAAAACGTTTTGATTTAAAATATTCATTTTTTAACTGTTAGATTTCTTTTTAATTCATTAACTCATCAGATCAGTTGGCGATTCTGGCATTCAGTTGGGCAGTTGCTACTTGCACAAAAGTGATATCTTATACTAAAGGTTTTATTGCTCATTCATTACAAATGCCAGATTAATACATGGTTTATAATTTTGTACTTCTCTATTTCTCAATCTCATTGATTAAAACTTCGTGTATGGTTTAAACGTAATGTACGGTACGAATGTTAAGGTGTTGCCGTGTTCCTGAATTTTTATTACAATAAATGTTTATTTTAGTTAGTCCTCGAATTCATAGAAAACGTTCACAATTCATAGTAGAAAATTTAGATGCGAGACAATAGTGTCTATTGATCTATAGAATACACGAGTGATTTTAGAATTTAGATTAACTGTTACACGTGATGCTGATTACATTAGTTAAAAATAAGTCATGAAAAAGTGTCAAATGGACATTTTCACAATCTTGTAATTCTACTTTAATTACAATAATGATAATTCTACTGCCGATTCTACTATTACGTATTACATTGCGCACGGGGTGAAGTATGAAAATTATGCGGGTATTGGGCAATGCTGGGCTATTTCAGTTGTCCCTCCGTGGCAAATAGGTTATTATCCCTGTATCATGTCAGTGTTTCAGGTCCCGTTTGAGCAGCCAAACTTACGACACTTTAGATTAGGGTCAAGCACGATTGAAAAACCAGGAATACTAATTGCGGAGTGAATTTTGAAAGCTTGGGATACTACGTATTATTTTTATTTCTATCAAGCCTGTAAATTTCTAAATTTTCATGCCATGTGAACCTAATTTTTAGTTGAAAATTCCTACATTTTAATGCTATACGAACCTAATTTCGATTGAAAGTTTTGACTGAAGAAGTAGAAAGAGTTTATTGGAAGCCTTTCTATTAGACATGCATATGACGACTACGCAGGACGACACAGATGCACAAATGCTACGCTCAGTTGCTGGTGGTGTCATTCCTTATCAACTGTTATGCTAGTTAATTTGAGCTAACAGTGAGGTCTAGAACAAGTTATAATTTCATTTCTAATATATTTAAATAATTTATTTTCCTCCAAGGAGGAATGTTCTTTACTCTAATTCGCCGAGTCTCTCCGTTAAGTGTATTATTTATTTATTTTTATCTATAATATCTTCTGTGATGCTAGAAAAAGTTCTACTTATAATAATTTGCTTGGAAAACAGTCGCTTCCTTTTAACTTAGTTATTGCAACGATATTCCTAATTATCAGGTTGCATATACCATTTCATTCTGATGACAAACGACCATCACTACACCCAAGTACAATATTTGTTATTGGGGCCAAACACCCGTCATTACCCGAAGAATATTTTGTTATTTATGTAGAGGACAAATTCTCATCATTACTCCTGTGAAGAACGTTGTTCATGACCCGTTCATAACGCCATGTACGGTGAAGAACGCTGTTCATGACCCGTTCATAACGCCATGTGCGGTGAAGAACGCGTCTCTTATACACATCTAGATGTGTATAAGAGACAGAGTTAATTTAGTTAGAATTATCCCATAAGTGCCATAAATTTCAACCCGTAGCAGAGTAGGAAATTTGCGTGACGCTATTTTCACAGCATATCAATCAAGAATNAACGCTGTTCATTACCCGTTCATAACGCCATGTACGGTGGAGAACGCTGTTCATTACCCGTTCATAACGCCATGTACGGTGGAGAACGCTGTTCATTACCCGTTCATAACGCCATGTACGGTGGAGAACGCTCTTCATTACCCGCTCTTAACCATATACGGAGAGTAATGAACGCTCGCATTGCTCGCTTATATAGCAGGCAGATGGCGCTGCAATGTTGCGCTAAGTCATAATTGCAGAGGCGCTAATTTTTTTTAAAGTGCGGCGCAAAGAGCGACGCTACACACGCACTGAGATGTATATTAAATTAAGATGGGCTGGTATTAATATGCAAAGGAAACTTTGAAGATGAACTATAAATAAGCCTTTCTTAAGGCTGCCGGCTTTTACCTTATTTAGCCTCTTTATGAATGTGTTTCAATGTAACTTCTCTGAGCAATAATTATATTAGAGAACGTATCAAGTTTTACTAAAGGAGTCATTTAATTTGAGTTTTGGAATTATGTTAATAATGTTTGAGAAAATGTTTACTGATTATACAATTGTGGATCTCATCAAGCTTTAATTTTATTCAACTGTGAATGTGTTCTTGTAACACTGATCTCTATATTATGGACCGAAAAATTCAATATTTATGGAGTGAAGAAAGTTATTGTGGACTGAAATTATTTTTTTTTGGAGTAGGTAGTCTACAGTAGGTGTGGATGTAACCACTGCGGAGTCTCGTGAATGTAGTGGTTAAATGAAGTCACTGATTTTTCAACCATTTACAGAAGTCTTGAAGAAGAAATGCTCTCTGTTATTTGGCGAGCGCGCTTCATTTAGCTGTCCCATTATTTCAAGAATTTGACATTTTTATTATACAATTGTAACTTTAGAAAGCACTCCTCTTACTGAATTGAGTGTAACAGCCGCGTCAAGTAACTTCGCACGAGTGCAAAAGCAAGACCAAACTACAAATGTTTTATTCCTATTTTGAGTTGAATTTTAATCAACGGCGTAACATCTACACTAGAATTTTTCCACGTGCTGTGTGAGTAGATTTTTACCTTCTATTTTTTTTATTAAGTTCAGTGATCATTAAGTTTTAGCTATACATGCGTTCTTCATCCTACACGTTACGTAAATTCAAGATATTACATATACACCATACATGTATATCCCCGCGAATCATCTTTTTACGAACGTAGATGGATTATCGGCAGTCAGATTTTAATATATATAGTTTCCTACGGTATTGAGTCTACGGCATTTGCACCGAAAATTTGATTGATTCCTTCCGGACACAGGCCAAAAATCTTGGAGAAACGCTAATAGTTTCGGTTTAAAAATATTCGAAGCAAATTATTTGTGAGCATGAATGTTTAATTGAGTTGTGTAGCATAGAACTCGAATTAAGGTTGAATTTTTTATATTAACTAGGTCAAAATTTCATCATTATCATTCTTCCCCTCTTTAATTCAATTACGAAAATTTGCAAAATAGTAAAGATGATACATACATGTATTATTTTTTTAAGCTACATAACTTTCTAATGCTGCTGCTTTAAGCACTTGACTTTGTTTACATCAGCATTTTCGTTTCCTGTAGCAAATTACCAAGTAATAAATTTGTTCCTTGCCCCTAAGTAGCTCGTCATGGCACTAAGCAAATCAATAAGCAACACAGGAGCACAAGAAGAAGCTGCCGCTTGTGTCGGCGAAAAATTTTCCGCAATGCGGTGCTTTTCAGAGGCTGGACGGTCGTCTGGAACATCTGGACGCACTGAGTCTTGGGCTCAATAAGAAATTTTGATGTTGTTGGCCAAAAAAAGTAAACTGACGCTCTTGGTTTTGTATTATTCTTTTGAAATAAAAATTTAATCTTTATTGGAGACAATTTACGCTTGCCGCCGCACTGAGCCTTGGGCTCGATAAGAAATTTTGATGTTGTTGACCAAAAAAAGCAAACTGACGCTCTTGGTTTTGTTTTATTATTTTGAAATACAAATGTAATCTTTATTGGAGACAATTTAAATTTGACTCCAACCAAATATATATGTAGAAGGAGAGATATGCCTTTAATCTCAACTCGCCATTCAACTAGCTCTGCGCTGTTCACCCAACAGCACGCAAGTTTCTATGATTTTTGTATATCGTTTTCTTCCTGAATTTTTTTTTAAATTTGCGAATCGAATATAAAGTCGTAAGCACACATACAATTTGACCTAACTGTGTTATCTCGTGAGAGTTACGAGATCAACCTTAACCTCATTGAAGTACACAAGTATACTCATGGTCCCAGAACAAGTACAAGGTCACAGAATTTGGTCCCAAGTACAAGGTCCCAGAAGGATTACTAGAATTTAAAACAAGAACCAACACCAGGGGCCACGGCT